TCACGAAGTGAATTCAAATGTTTAAAAACCAATAAGGACAAGTTTCCTATTTACTTGAATCGAATTTTATTTTCCCATGATCAAAAAACTAAATACAGCACAGACATGCTACAAATTGTGTGAATAAAAATTGTCGACAAATTTATTTTATTCTGACGGCTTTGTATCTGGAATTTAAAATACGAAAAAGGAATATCAAAACTTCAGATACCCAAAGCACCTGTGTTGTTTCCTTATTGTAACAGTATCTTGCAGACTTCTTTTCTGAAGAAGAGGAAAAACATTTTGTCAGCACAACCACACCAGGAGAGTACAGAGCGAGAAAACAGTGCAAGCACAATTAATTTATTCATTTCAAGACTCCTAATAGGCCGTGTTAGAGGCACTGGCTTGCAGCACAAAAATGAATGATCACACATAATAAATAAAAATACGTATCATACAGAATGAAATGGCTGAAAGCCCAAGCAACTTCATAAACACACCAAAATATTGGCTAACAATATTAGTTGAGGTAAAAGGAGCGAAGGAGTAATTCAATGTATTAAACAATACGATTAGGTTTATGCCATGCGAAATCGCTCAGCGTTTTTTTGACCATCACGAGTATGGCGGAAAAAATTTTCACGTTTCTTGAAGTCGGAAAATTGTCCTGGTCATCTAATTCTGTTGACAAAAATTTTGCTCCCTGGTTATGAGGGCCTGTAGTATGGCATCGACTGAGCTAAATGTCGTCAAACAACAATTTTTTTCAAAGGTCGTTTTGAAATGCACTCAATAAATGGCATTTCCCGCTAGGTAATGAAGTGATCCAACTAAAAATAATGACTTACTTATGTATATCAATTCTTGGGGAGCTTTTCCCACGAGCAATATTGAATAATGTTGCCAGGTTTGGGATTTTTTTGGTAACATGGCAAATTCCAAGGACACAAATAAAATATGTGCTGGTGACCTTTCTGACATGCTACAAATTAAAAATTATTTACACACTGAAGTTTAGCAGATAGTCTAAAAAATTCTGAATTTAACTTTTTTTTGGGGGAAAAGCTCTCTATTTAGCATCAAAAAGCTTGCCTTGGTAGTCGGACAAAAAATATGCACATTTCATTTTGAAGCTCTACGTACTACCTCAATATAGGTGAAGTTACTAAAGGGTATTGTTTTTTAAACTCGAGAAGTATTTTTTTTGAAATTATGCATCTCCACCAGCTTTATCCCTACTTAACTCAAGCGGCATGAAGCACTTCCAAGGGCGATTTTCAACAGACTTCCACAGACCTGAGGTGGACACAGCAAGCCTGATGCGGAGCAATTGAAATGGGGCTATCATCTTCATTCCACTGCCAATAGAGGTGCACTACAATGAATGTCGCTAGAGTGTGGAGACCAGTAGCGTAGCAAAAACATATTTTTCGCGTGGGCTTGGTGTGTGAGGGGAAGGCGACTTCGGTCATACTTGATGTACATTCTTGTGTGTTTGTATGTGTGCATGTAGGTATGCACATGCAGAACTAAGAAAATCGCAGCATACATACTAACTGAATGATGATGTGTGTGGCGAAGCTTCAGAGGGTTTTATTGGTAACCGTGAATCCGTCTGGGTGTCTGTCGCTCACACTAGTGCATTTTGCTGAGTCATCGATAAACTAGGCGGTCACGAACCGGTCACAGTCGAACGACAATCTACGGCTTTAGGATAAAAAATACCTGGACTGTGCTAGGGGGAATGGGGAATTAAGCAGCTCCTGCTTTTTTGGCTACACCACTGGTGATGACTCCCAGATGAGCCATCTAGCCGTTAAAAAGTATACAGTACGCAATTATCCTTTACACAAAACATAAACGAGACTATCGCCTTGGCTACCAGTTCTTATTTAAAGTTTTTTTTTGCTTTTGTATTCATAAGACAGGCTTTGGGTCTCAGGGAGCTTTCCTGAAAGCCAGAAAAATAAGAAATGGTTCTTTTAGGATAGCGTTTATCAGTGTACTGTATCAATGCTACTTGCATGCTATAAGACATATGTACTGAATATGACTAAATATTTTTATTAAGTGTATAAAACACACCTACTGCATTTGGAGAACTCCCCAGGAAAGCAGGATGTCTGATTTTATACCTATAAAGCTGCATGGCTCACCTGGAAGTCACCACACTGAACCCAGTCCCTGTTGCACCCCTCCATTGGCAATGGAATGCAGATGATCCCCCTATTCGCATTTCAATTTTTCTGTAGAGAGCACCAAATTCACTCTCTGTATTCCAGGTCAGTGGGATTCTGCTGAAAATTGTCCTTGCGAGTGTGTCATGTCACTCGAGTTACGTAGGCGAAAAGCTGGTGCAGATACATATTTCAAAAAAATATTTTTTGAATTTAAAAATAATACCCTCTAGTAATTTCACCTATAATTAGCTTGTCCAAAGAGCTTTAAAATGAAATTTTGTGCATATTTATAGTCCGACCACCAAGACAAGCTTTTGATGCTGAATGTCGAGGTTTTTCTAAACAAAGTGAGACTCAATTTTTTTCAGAGTATCTGCTACAACATCAGTGCCTAAATTATTTTTAATTTGTAGCATGTTGACAGGCCACCAGCACATATTATATTTGTGTCCTTAGAACTTACCATGTTCCCAGAAAAAAATCCCAAATGTGGCAACTTTATTCAACATAGCTCGTGTGAAAAGCCCGCAAAGAATTGATATACATAAGTAATTATTTTAAAGTTAGATAACTTCATTACCTTGCCAGAAATGTCTTATTGAGTGCATTCCAAAAACTTCTTTTAGGAAAAATTGTTTGACACCTTTTACCTTACTTGGTGCCAAAGAATAGGCTCTCATAAAAGGGAGGAGAATTTTTGGCGACAAAAATAATTGACCAGGATGAGTTTTGCACTTCGAGAAATATGTGGAAGTTTTATCAGCTATATTTGTGATGGTCGGAAAAACATTGGATGATTTGGCATGGAATGACTCAGAGATAACATCGACAGATCAGACAAGAAATGTGTCAAATATTTTTAAAAATTAGAGAAAAGTGGCATTTGCATGCTACATGTGGCTTTGCCTTCCTGTGGCAGAAGGCATCTTCAGATAGGTACAAACGTTATCACGGCAGTAATTATAGAAATTACCACAATTATCTATTTAACCAGTGGTAATAGCTGGTTGGGTCGAATGGGCGAATTGAATCTTTTCCTAGAAACAGTCCATAGCCAGTTTAAAATTTAGGAAAAGCGGCCACTAGTAATCACCGCAGAGCGATGCATTCTGCTCAATTTAGCTGGCGAAACCAAAACCAATGCACCAAATAGTGCATTTACTATTCACTTCGAGAATGCCCTCCATGGCGACACTGTTTCTCTTTCGTTGGGGGAGAAGATTAAGTGAACGTCGATAAGCGGGCACAAAGCAAAGTGTCTTAAGTGACGGTTGATAACGGCTAGAGAAACAGTGTGAGAATTGAGGGCGTTGTCCAAATGAATGGTAGATGTGCTGTCTGGTGCAACGTTTCAACGTTTTTCGTTTTGACACCTAAATTAAGCAGACTGCATGACTCCTCGGTGATTATCAGTGGCTACTTTTCCGAAATTTCAAAGTGGCTATTGACTTGTAGTAGAAAGGACTTGAATTCGCCCATTTGACTCTACCAGCTACTACCACTGGTAAAAAGGTAATGTTCTTAATTGCTATAATTACTGCCACAATTAATGTTTGTGCCTATCTGAAAATTCCTTTTGCCACAGGAAAGGCAATGCTGCAACTATCACGCAAGCACCTCCTTTCTTTAATTTTTAAAGAATATTAAACACATTTCTTGAAACACCCTGTATTTCATGCACATGCAGACAATGGGAAATAAAAACAAACGATGAAGAACGAGCGAGAAGAAATAACGAGCTAATAAAGAGACGGCCACATAGCCAGGAATGTTTTTCGGAGGGGGGCACATGTTGATGGCCATGAAAAATGATTTTCTTCATGACTTATGCTCAGTAGGACAACACCACAACATGCAAATTCGGGGGGGGGGGGGGGGGGGGGGGGACAAACTCCTCCGGCACCCCTCCGGCTACAGGCCTCCACTGAGCACACTTCGTTGGAATACAGCAGATGTCACATAAGCAGAAGGAAAGTTGTCATTATTAACAGATGTAAACGGAGGTCTGCACAAAAGAAAGTCATTAACCCAAATGAGCACATTCAGAGGAATGTTTTAGAGTGTTAGTAAAATATGTAGTGAGAAACCCTATCAAGAGCTGTAGAAAAAATATGGAAACAATGCGTCAACCTGAGAGCCCATGTCAAGTAACAAATGCATACAGTCAAGAAGGCCAGCAAGTCTAGTGTCACATGAAAAGACTTACGAAAGACGCACTTATATTTGAAAATGATGTTACGAACTTCAAGCTAGAGGCTTGCCTTGCAACAGTAAGGCTGATACTCATCACAGATTAAACTTTTTAATTGTTATACAAGTTGGCAATAATGGGTCTGAACTTACTAGTTGAAAAGTGGCCTAAGCATGCGCTCTCAAAATCAAGGTATAGTTGCTGACTTTTTATATGAACTCCTTCATGGCACCGCCACTCGTCCCACTGAAGTAGCGTAAAATTACCAATGAAAATTTAGATGCCCTAGTGGGTGCTGTTTTGAATTTTCGTGATCTAGCTGACTAATTTGGTATGCTGTCAAACACAGTAACAATGTGCCAGCAATGTTTACAATACTCTTGCTACGTTGCCAGAACTAAATGTTTGTACTCACTTCGGCTCGAGGTTGCCAGTGTGAAATTCAATGCAGAAATTACAATTGCGGGTCTTGAAGGTCACCTTTCGAAGACTATGCTTTGAATGTGCGGTGCCGAAAGCAAATTTCAAACTGGATAACGACAACAAAGTAAACATCATCTCATGGTACAGGTTTGTTTCACACTCACTAACGTGGAAGAACATTAACAATGAGTATGACATCCTGACTGTAGTGCTATACCCACGTGAAACGAAGATATGGGTGTGCTTATGAGCTGCTTGATCACCTGTCACTGTTCCATGCTGCTGGACTGAACGCTGAACCGTCCAGAATTGGCAGTGGAGGATGCAGTGAAAATGATGGCCCTTGATAATTTGCTGGTGATGTGGTGGCACAAATTCCTGCAACATCAGGCCACCAAGGTGCTTGTGGCATGAACAGTCATAGTGGTGCTGGCATGAGAGGCGACAGCTGGCCTAAGAACGATAAAAGCAGCACCTAGAAGAGAATAAATAGTGAGTATGACATTGTAACTACTGTGCCATGACCCCGTGACATGAATAATGTGACATGTTGTCTAACACGATGTCAAACCTTTTTCATCAGTCATGTGTGTGCATACCTGCATACTATTGTCTGTGGGATGGGTATGACCCACATGTGATTCACTGCTTATGTTAACTCAGGAACAGCAAGAATGCACTTTGGAAATCTCTTAGTAAGCATTAAGGAGACAGTACAACAGTACATATGTTGCCAATAATAGCAGCTTCACAACGAGTGAAACATTTCAATGAAAAGTTACAGTAAATATCATTTGTAGCTGCATTTGAACCTTGGAATTCCAGGTGCTGTACATAGCCACACTAGTGGTTGTAAATGCTCCAGAAAAGACTAATCAGGCATCGTATTGAAACAATGTCGAGTGTGCTTGCAATGTTGGCTATTTTTGTGTAAAACAATGTAATAAACAATAAATATGTACTCCTATATGACTCAACAAGCTATAATGAAGCGCTGTTTTACCTGGCAGAAACTACGATATGCACATCATGGCACCGTGGCATGCACCTGATTTTGATAAATCTGAAGTCTGTGCTTTTAAAAGCACAGATGTGAGTGCAGGCATAATATTGTACCATTAGCTACTCCTGAGGCATCAGTGCAATTGACATATCTGGTAAGCCCTTGATATGCTGACAGCTCGTAAGTTTACACAAAAATATATATCAACTTAGTAACAATTGACTCAAAAAGTGAAAAAAAGGAGCCAAGACAGCTTGGCATTGAATCTTTCACATGAAATCGATCTCCACAAATCATGACATTCACTGTATTGTATTTGGATTTAGTCCATGAGAATGTTTAAAAACCACACTTTTTGAAGATATTTTTTGTGCCTTCTGCTGCACTGTGAATAATAATTATATACCAAGTATAACACCAGCAGAACTTAAAAAAACAGTATGTTTAAAAGAAGTGTGTTAAATCAAATATATGCAACGAAATATGAAAGTAAGCATATATGGGCTTCAAAAACATCTCGACACTAATTACCTGAGCCAATTACTTGCCCTGTAATATTTGAGTTCTCTCTGAAAAGAATAAGAGTTTTTCAATTTAGTATACAAAAGTGTGCACTATTCAACCTATTATGTAAACCATTTACACTTAGAAGCTAGCAATGCCCAAAGCACATATACTTGAAAGTGTGCAAAAAAGAAGCCCTTTTGTGAATGTAAAAGCTTCTGCTGAAATGAGTTGTGACAGTTGTTTCCAATTGAAAGAAATGATTGATTCTATTTTATTACAATATCAAGGTGTAACTTGAATTCCAAGTGAAAAATTAATTGATTCTATTTCATTAACAACAGTAAGTATCAACTCTGTCCATTTTAAGTGGAAGTGACATCAACGATGGTAAGTAGCTCTCACCCTGCAAACTTCAAACAGAACTGAAGAAGAGAACACAGCTTCTTAATGAAGCTTCACCTTAAAAGAATCAACTACCTTCATGATAAGTGCCCCACTACGGTTTAAATGTTTTTTTTTTCACTTTTCCAATCTTTGACAAGCAGTTTTCAACTGCAGATAACAATAGCCATATAATCTGCAGAGGCTTCAATAAATGCCAGTAGCTAGCAGTGTCTTCATATTCCCTTTTTTTTTTCATCCGTGCATCTAAACTTTGTTGCAACTACTTGACATGCATTGTCACTTCAATACAGCTGTATTGGTTCATGATTAAACATATACTTTTTTTCTTATTTCAATTGATCCTTTTCCTAATTGTGGTGTTCTTGCCACTTCCAAATTTTATCGTACAGGTAATGGGTTGCTGCACGCACAGGCGTCACTTACCAGTGCTGCATAAGCACACTATTCGAACTATCACAAGATAGCTGCATATGGTTAAATGCACCATAGCATGGTTTGGATCTCTCGTTTACTCATGCAGGCTAATACTAGATAGTAAACTATTAAAGTAAGCACGGACAAAACTCATATGTTGTCTAAATGTTCCTCATGCCTGCACAGCTAGTACTCACCACTAGGACGCATTGCTTCAAGGTATAAACACGGGCAAGGACACAGTCCAGCAACCACATCAAAAACGTTTTTATCTCCTAAAATAAAAAGGGATTTGATCACTTTCTTTGACAGTAACCAATGAAGGGTACTACTAAATGTGATATTTACCATATTTTTTACTAGGACTACCTCAATTCTAAATTTACAACCAAACATTCACAAAAACCAATATCTTTGCAACTTTTCCACCAGCTGTAAATATTATTTTGCACTGTACACATATAAAGCTATTTTTGCCTACCGAAAAAAAAAAATTATAATCGGCTAATACGAACTATCATATTTCACTAAATGATATCTCCCTGACAAAAAAAAAAATCCCCAATATGCCCCATATTCTTCATATACTAAAAATCCCACCATTGTTCTACACAGAAAATCTATTCCTAACTGGATTGGGGATTAAGACATGTTCAAATAAAATTCCTGTGATTTGACGTCCCAAAACCACGATATTATTATGAAGGACACCGTGGTGGAGGCCTCCGGAAATTTTCACAATTAGGTCATTTTTATCGTGCACTGACATCGCTTAATACACGAGCATTTACCATTCCCCCCCCCCCCCCCATCAAAACGCGACTATATAACACGGCCGGCATCGAACGCGCGGTCAGCAGCCGACCACCATAGCCACAATACCACCGCGGCAAACGAAGCAAAAATTCTTTTATTATTTTTAAAAACGCGTTTTACGAGTAGTGGTTTCTGGCTTTCTGGAAGAATTCACATGCCGCTTTACATTTCCTGGGTTAAAGTTCTCTCTGGTTATTCGCACGTCGGTGCTACCTGCATTCAGCCACCTTTTATTAGAAAACGCGGAGAAGATTCAGCCCGACGGGGAGAACACGCGTGTAGGCAGCAGCGCGCCAAGATTTCACGGTAGATATCGCCTCATTTTTCGGCGCAGCGGCGTACCAACAGCGTAAACAAAACGCCACCAGCAGATAGGGAGGCGCACACATTAAACGGCTGCACTACAGCGTTGATATAGCCACTGTAGCGTTGACAAGCCCGAACGCTGTTGGCATAGAGTAATGCAACTGCTGTGGACAAGTAATCCGAGGGCAATGAAAATGAATGAAAATGTAACGCTCGATACGTAAACACAACCAACACAATCAATCGGCAATTTCCGTAAATGCTGTAGTTTCTGCTCTCAGTACGCACTCCATCTCAGAAAAAGCATGCATGATACAAGCCGCGCGAAACCGACATCGACATAGAAGCACTGCGTTTGTGGCCGTGGCTTTACTCGAAGCAGCCTTATCTGAGATGGTGCGTCGTAGGTACTACACGACACAGATCATTAGTAACACGAGTTGTAACCTAAACGGCGAATAAATGCGAAGTTAGGGACTGACCTCCAAGACGCAGACCAGATAAATAACCAGCGCCAGCCGGGTCCCGTTCCTTGTGTGTGTCCTAACCGTTGAGGAGGGTAGTGACTATAGTAGTGCCACAGAACACCTACCAGTTGTAGTGCCTGCCGACCACCACAGAACACCTACCAGTTGCTGCCGACCACGGAGGAAGGACCGTGCTGCCGACGGATGAGTGACGATGGCGGTGCGCCCGCCGCGGTCGAATGGTTTCTCTTTCCGCGATGCCCGCCTAAACCGCCGTTTGAAAATAAATACAGTTTCGTAGAAGAAAAGCCGTGCAGAACCCGTCGTGGTGATGGCTGCTGTGATGGTATGTGATGGTCATATTAGTATAAATTTCTGGAGGTCATCCATATTGCAAATGATTACTTTCATCTAATTTTTGTTGATGGAGGAGACATTTGTTTTTTGCACTATTCAGTGAAACATGATTGGTAAACGTGTGATGTATTCATTATATTCGCGAAGTGGTGAAGTCTGTGATTCTTAAATGTGTCCTGTATCCTTGGTGTTGGCGAAGGCGTGGAGTGTGTTTATTTTCTGGACACTATGTCGGACTCGCTCGCTGGATTCCGAGCGAACCGGTTGTGCCCTCGCCATATCCGACGTCAGCGTAGCTCTGGCCGACTGGGCTGGCCCTACGTCATCTCCTGACGCCGATCTCCGACAAGAGCGTAGCTCTGACCTACTGAACTTGCCCTACGCCATCTCCTGACGTCGACAAGAGCTCTCGCAAGTGGTGCCCCGTCCTCGGACTCCTGTGACCGTGTTTCCATCTTTCCTATCTCTCCTATCCCTTCATATGTCCTCGCTGGCTGTCCCAGCGCATCTCTCTCTATATATATACCTTTAATACTATCCTTTTAATCCCTCCTCACCCCATCCCTTGTGAGCTACTGTTGAGGTGTCGTACCCTAATGCAGACAGTTACGGGGCTCACTTTTCTTTTCCATCTTAATTATAACCACTCACACCCCCCCCCCCCCCCCCCCATACACTATGTCCGCTCTTCTGTCCATAAATGCGCGAAATTTTTTTGCAGTCTAGAGACTTGTGCTTTCCTGTGCTTTCACAATGCCCTCAAGAGAAGCAACACTATTTAATGGAACAAAGCTTTAAGGAGCAATTGCCAAAAGGCTTCCTGGACATCATCCTAAAGGCTGTAACCAAAACGAAATTGAATAAATAAAAAAAAGAAACAGGTGACATGTCACGTGCCTGGGAAGGAAAATAGGAGGAAAGGAACGGCAGAGTGGTTAACCAGCCTAAAGGCAGCCGGTTTGCTACCCACGTGCCTGGGAAAATAGTCAAAGGACATAGGGCAAGCAGAAGCATTTCCCTAAATCCACAAGATTCCCCATAATGTTGAAAAGCTGCATCAAGGAATGCTCTACGAGCTCTGTTCTCGGCGCCATGCTAACATAGAAGACCGAAACTCAAAGGGCACTTGCACCACTCGCCCTTGCACTATACTCATTGACTGCATCACAAATATGTGCGCATAAGACTTTCCTGGGGTGGAGAAAGAAACAGATTATAATAAAGGTAGGGACGTTAACTAGACACTGTGGTAGAGTATAAGTAGAGTAGACGGGGCCTTGAGTAAGTCAGGCCCGCAACCAAGAATTTTTTCCGGAGCGGGGGGAGGGAGGACAACAGTTCAAGGCCTTGAAAAACCAGTTTTTTTATTGTTTGTCCTCAGTAGAAAACCTATTTCTATCCACATTGCTGGCGGGAGGGGCTACGGGCCCTGTGTCAACACTCGCTTGAAAGAACATGATGCATCTGTCACCACAGGAGGAGTGGCTAACTTGCCTGCTGATTGCAAGACGTGTGTTTGCCCACTCATTTTAAAGGGGTCCTGCAACACGTTTTGAGCATGGTTAGAAAACGCTGCCGAACAGTAGTAGAGGCTCCCGACAACACACGAGCCCAATAATATAACACATCACGCGGCCTGGAATTCACAATAAATTATCAAAGTCAGCTAAAAATTGCTTTCTCTTCTTTCGCGCAATTAGGTAGCGTACCCAAAATCTCTGCGTAGTAAACCGAAAGCCACGATCGGTTTATGTTATAACAGCTTAAAACAGCCCCATATTACTGCTATTTATGTCTTATTTTATGTTTAATAGGTAAATATTCAGGCTGTTTATATTGTTTACACCATTAAAACACCAAGCAAACAATAATTATCACACTTCCGGTCTCTATCGACAGCTAGTCTGCTCGAAGTCGCGTTTTCTTCACACCGCGTAGTGCCGAAATCGTGAATATTTCTGTGGTTTTAATAATCGCCAGTTGTCGTTGAGAGTTGCAGCCGGTCAAGTTTTAACTCGTCAGCTGGGAACTGCATAGTCAGCACGGTCTCGCGGCAGACTAAGGCGGGTGTGACCATACAGATGTGCAGCATTTCTCCGAAGAGCTATGCAGGCGCCGGCTAGTTAAACGGTACCACGTGTTCGCTGTCTGTCGAGAGCGCCGTTCACTCTCTGTCCATCATCTGTCATCGAGCCGTATCTCGGCGTTTCCTTCCCGTTATCTTTCCTGTCTCGTTCCCGTGAAAACGCGAAGCCGGAACCAAGCGGACTTGCATTTTGCTGAGCGCTGACACTCGAAGAAAAGACACAGCAGAGAGTACATGGCCACTTGCACTAGCGACGTTTACTGCTTAGAAGTAATGTCGCACGGTTACGCAGCGAGTTAGTGATGTCTAGGAGTCAGCACAGTCGGTGTGTTGTTGCTGGCTGTGAAAGCGACAGCACTGTAAGGATTAATCGGGTGTCTGAAAATCCCGAACGTCGGCATGCGTGGTTAGGGCGCATTGGTTGGCCAGCTTCAAGACAGCGCGCACGGATGTTCGTGTGTGAACAGCATTTTTCTGCCGAGGATTACACCAAACACGCAGGCGTGATGCAAGCCACGGGGTTCCAAACCGGACGCTTACATCTGAGCAAGGATGCAGTACCGAGCTTGTTTCTCTCAAGCATTCATACTCATTCATACCTGATTGAAATATTTGAGTGAGAAGTATGAGAGATGAAGCACATACGCTAGAGTTTTCTATCGGACATGCATAGCACATAATTTCTATATTGGAATTTTAAATTCTACACCAGTCTTTTTCACAAATTAAAGTTAAATGTGTCCATAGCGGTATACTGCTCCCATTTATTATCCGAATCAAGTGCATAAAAGGTCGGTGTGACCTTTCCTAAAGAATGTGGTTGTATATGGTGCATTTAACTTGTTACTTTTGACGAAGCGAATGCGGATTTATTTCAACACTTGTTAATTTACCTGTCATCTGGTGATCTTACAATCTTGAGGCAACAGTCAAGTGTGTGTCAACCTAGAAGTTGCATGTTTTTAAATTAGTGCTGTGACTGTGTTCAGCATTCGTGAAATCTTTGAGTGCAGATTTGATTTCACTGTTTCAACCACATGCCATGGAAGCTTAGTCATAACAGGGGACTACAACATCAGCTGCATCAGGTAGCACCCACATGTATATTCCTCCAGTGAGCCAAACTTTTGTGTCATTCATTGCTGTTAGCGCTCATTCATAGCAAAAAAAAGTAAAATGTTATTGGCACTTTTCTACCGTTTTCACATTGTAGTGATGAGCAAAATAATTTGCAAAAAGTGTGCTTTTTTTTTAATTTTCAGTGCCCCCTCCCTTCGCCCTATAGGCACTTTTCTGCATGTACTACCGTGCATTTCAGGGTCGTTATAGCCACCTGTGCTGAGCACAAAACATGATTATGTGAGGTTGCAATGCAGAATATTAAGCACTGGAGAATTTACATGGAGCTGGTGTATCTTGTATTGAGTAACATATCAGGAATAATGGGAACCTGGCAGAAAGCATTGACCGTAATATAGGAAAGGATGTATGCTTGAAAGTTCCTCCTTTTCTAAGCATTACAGAAGAATTGCATGTTTCTGCTTGTAAATATGCCAGACACATTAATCTACACCACTTGCCAGGTCACTGTTTACAGGGAAAATAGCAGCCTGAAGTATCGTTCATTAAATACTTGATATTACTGTACATTGCTTGTAATTCCTTTTATTATTGAATTCATATGCACATTATTTGCAGGCCATGGTGTGCCAGTGCAGCTGTCACCATCCTGCGAGGGCCTCTGTGGCTACACAGTGCTCACTTGGTATGAAGGCAGCGAGGGATTTAGGTGAGCAGCCATTTTTTTTGCTGAATTCTGCTACTCTCTGCCAGTAAATTGTAATTCTGTCTAACAACTAAAATTAAGTGATAATTCCAGGCAGAACATTGTTAGAATTTCGACCTGTACAATTATGTTGAAGAATACTTATTTACAGGTGTACAGGCTCACCTAGACGTAAAGCTTCATATCACCAAAGCAACACAAACAGAGCCATGTCCGCCCCAACTTCCCACTAATTTCCAGCCTGCTCGCCAATCAATGCCTGTGCCGCCAGATGAAGAAATGGTAGTTGATGAGGAGGTTGTTGATGAAAGGAACACTAGCTACCACGAGTCCTTTGACTACAGCATTAGCAGGTACTAACTATATGCAGTGATCGTGAGCAAAACGTCTGCGCTAGCTGCGCATTACAATTTTCAAAGAATAGAGAGTTGTCCCATCTCATTAATAAAATGTATCGCAAGACAACCCTTTTTCGAGTCTTGAAAGCCTGAATATATGCAAAGCCTCATGTCAACAGCTTGAAAATGCAGTATCAGTGAGGCAGGATTTTAACATGTGATTACAATGTTGCACTACTGTTGCGCTGTAATGCTTGCATTCTACAGTGAGCATGCAGAAGAGCCTCCACATCAGTAGCGAAAGCTCCTCGTCTTTGAGAGCAACCTGAAGGAACTGCTTACATTTTGTCAAGTGTGCCACAGGCACTGCAAGAACGAATTCAACGAATTCAAGTCCATGCTGTATGTCAACAGTAGCTGCCCCCATCACACACGGACATGGCAGAACCAACCACTAGTCAGCAACACGCCGGCAGGGAATGTGCTACTGGCTGCTGCCATTCTGTTTTCAGGCTGCACTGTGGATACGTTTTTGCGGGCACTCAAATCAATCAGCATGCAGACAATCCCTGAAAGGACACTTTTTAATTACCAAAGAGGCCACCTTTTGCCAGTCATAAAAAAGTAAGTTCTTATAAATGTTAAAATTTAAACCCCTTAACACTGCATACTAATACTTGCAATGACAAATACTATACAATTTGACTGACCTGATGAAAGGCCTTCATACCAGCAGTGTGGACAGGAACAAACTAAAAAATAAAATGCGTTTTCACTTCATTGTCTTGTGGAAATCTTTTGGTGCATAGTTTGACTAATTGATTGATATGTGGGGTTTAACTCCCAAAACCACCATATGATTATGAGAGGCGCCGTAGTGGAGGGCTCCGGAAATTTTGACCACCTGGGTTTTTTTAACGAGCACCCAAATCTGAGCACACGAGCCTACAACATTTCCGCCTCCATCGGAAAAGCAGCCACCGCAGCCGGGATTCGATCTCGCGACCTGGGGGTCAGCAGCCGAGTACCTTAGCCACTAGACTACTGCGGCGGGGCGTAGTTTCACTAAACCTTGACCGAATAGCATTGAGAAAGACAAAAAATTTTACCGCTTTATAAGTGTGAAACAGTTTTTAACAGTGAGTACATTTTCTTCAAAATTCAATGTACTGTCTCTCTGAGCAAGGAAGAAATGTCATGCTTAAAACTTCTTTTAAGAGACATTTTGAGATTGGATGACATTTTTTCCCCATTTATTATAAATTTTCTAGTAAAATTAGGACCATGAAAACAATGCTTTGATGCAAATTGGCTTTGTTTTGTACCCAGCAGCAATCATAACGGTGTCATAGAAGGATGTTTAAGCACAGTCTTGTTTTCATGCTCAGCCTTTTTTCTACTACCGGTTTCTTCCAAATGATGTGCCACTTGGCTCACCTACTCACAATGTCACAAAAAGATGAGGTAATAATGAGTAAATATATAAAAAATATATATTCATCATTGAAACCAATGGCCCTAATACAGAGCTTTATTGAATTACATTGCGATGTTGACAACCTGTGCACTCACGTAAGTTATCAACCAGTAACATATTGAATATTTCACAGACCGGAGGAAAATGGTATGCCTTAAGCATATGACACAATAATGATGAGCTTTATCTCAGAAAGAAAGGCATTCTTTGAAGAAGTAGACTGTGTATCAGTCTTTTGATATATGATAGTGTTTAAAGAGCTATGATCAAACGTAATGTCCGTGCAAAGTGGCTGAAATTGCCCTGTGTATTTGCACTTGTGCTTTGTGTACACATCGATATATTTAACAAAAATTACAATAATGCCTAGATGTTCCACTCTTGTGATAGCCCTTCAAGGCTGGGGTATGTTGAAATAAATAAATAAGTTACTAAATGATAAGTCGGCAAGGACAGCATTTCTAGAACCCGCGCCCATAAACCCGGAAACAATAAAGCTTACACACCACATGACAAGAAATACCAGTAGCTGAAGTGATAAAAGAAGTTATTTAGGGCACGACCAATAAAAAAATTCATAAATCTCCTCATAGAAGTGTCAGAAATCCTATATTATATTGTGATGATGGAACCCATATGTCAACAGTTATTGTATGTATAGCTTCCACTGCATCTGCTCTGTGACATTTTATTGTCTGACACTATACATTTACTGCTGTGTCCAGCTTTCCCAGGAGTGGCAAGCACAGCTGTTCAGGGACCTGCCTGAGGATGGTGTTGAGATCGCAGGAGATGGCCAGTGTGATTCACCAGGGTACAGCGTAAAGTACTGCTCGTATATTGTCCTGGCGATGGAAGTTGGCGAAATCCTCTATTACGAACAGATAAGAGTGGGAGAGGTGAGCAAGTACAGAAAGCTAGATTGCCTTTCTGTAACTATAATTTCATGCAGTCACCAGCTATACCAAGCAGCTCTGCAATAGAGAAGGAGGGTTTGGCACGATCCTTCTAAAAGCTTGAAGAAAATAGCGTGACTGTGCGGTCCCTCACTACAGGCAAGTTAAAGTTTTTTGCAGAAAAGAAGAGTGTTCTTTGAATAGTGACAGTGACTTCAGTGTGCTTCTTTCATAACTGGATTTAGTGACGTGGTAAACAAGCACTGCCGGCTCCCACAACCACCATATTGTTTCCCTTATACCTCTGTCACATGAACAGCCTTAGCCGCTGTTAAGCTGACTATCGTTATGGCTAACGGTAAGAAGTACATACAGGGAAGACATAAATTCAGTTACTCTGCTGACCATGGTTGTTGCAAACAAAGCTAGGCAAACATGGTTTACACTCGCAAACCGAGAAGCTGACAAGATTGCTGAAAAGCTGCAGACCTGCCATGAACCAGTGAAAGCCAATCGGCATCTTTGCGTTGTTTGAAAATTCTCATGGAATGCGACTCCAGTTGTTAAACACTTGCACAGCTTGTGAAAAATAAAGCTCATCGTAGAATGGCCAGCAATAATGATCGTTCTGTCATAGCAGAAATAGCAAGATAGTGTAGCCTTATCGCAACATGTTTCTTGAGAAGAATTGCTTTTCACATTGTTCGTGTCTAGCAGCCTCATAAAGCCCCAAACGCTGAGTGTCTAGTCAAAAGCAGAATGATTCAAAAACAGTCTTAGAGGTGCAGATGGGCTGTGTTATACCACCAAGCTTACTGAGGCGGTGCTCGAAATTTTCTCTGACCTCAGGGTCAGCTCATGATTTTATTGGCTTGTTCAACTGAGCTAACTCAGCCCATGAAGCAGTAGCAAAGCGCTTTCACATTAACAGTGGTTAATCCTTAAGCATCAGAACAATTAGGGCGTCCATGTGACACAGGTATATCTTAAGCTCTACAGTGTCTTTTCAGTATTTCTGTATCTGAATTCATTGCGCATTATAAACGTTCACACTTCACTGCATATTTCCAGCAGACCGCCACCCAGTCATCTTGACTTACTGCAGCGTAAAAAAGCCTGGCATGCCACATTATTTCGATGTTTGGCATCTAAATAAAGGTGTTTAAAAAGTTTTTTTCCTTTGACCTCACTGGCATAGACGAAGGGGGGAGGGGAGTTCAAACCCACCCTCGCCCTGAATGTTTCGAAATTATGTGCACACAACACACGAACACACAGAAAGTAGACGTCATCCCCCCTTCCCCCTAAGTGTTTCCTGGCTATGCTATTGTTAAAAACATTTGTGCAGGCTCATGATGAAACAAGCACCAATGGTACAAAAGTTTAGAAAGGGCACATGGCGGCGCGCTTACCAGCAACTAAAAATTTTTATTTAGGAAAGAGAACTTGCATATATATATGCATAACGCACAAGCATGTCACCACAAACCACCCCTATTATCACAAACAGTGTGAAACAACGGAAGACCACTCCCATGGCATACAAGAAAAAAAATGAGTGGTAAGCCCCCCACCCTTCAAAAAAAAAAAGAAATGCCATGAGTCGCATTACGTCCAACAAAGCAAATTCAGAATCTGTTAGCAAAACAGACACCTGACGGATGTATTTGTCACCTCCTTTTTTAATTTGGAACACTCCCATTATATTTTTTGTCGTCTGCTCCTTGCATTTGTCTATTATTTCTGTGTAAGCAGGAGCACTCCTTGCAGTGCATCACTAGGTGCACTGCAAGGAGTGGACTCTCACGCTTGCGAAGGTGAACATTTAGGCAACGACCTGTGTGACCCATGTATAGGACAAGTGCAGACTAACAATCAATTTATTGGAGTGACATGCCTTTTTCACAGCAGCAAAGTACGTAAATGGTTGTCCATAGCCGTACATCCCAAGATAACATTTTAACAACCAAGAAAACGAAGTTTCTTTTTGGTGAGCAGCAAAGATGCCTCACACACACACTTATCAGGCCCATGTCTTATTATATCCAAGGCTCCTATAATTTCATGTGGCCTTTTGCTTTTTGTGCACTCCACCATCTTGATGGGCCTCGACAGTGGCTTGAATTGTCTTTTTCTTTTCCTTTCATGAAACTGGCAATGTCTAGACGAATTCATCCCACTCTGGTGACTGGAAGAGTTAGTGTATTGAAGAGGCTTATTATTGCAGCATTCTGTCTGCCCACCACATACTAAACATGGTTGAGTGGAATTTCATAGACATCATCCATTTTATAAAGCACAAACTTAGTTCTGTGAGAGATTACACAGCCTGTTTTTTTTTTTGCATGTTATCATTTGTTAGTAAGCCTAGCAACAACAATAAACACATCTATATTTGAGCAGTGCACCTCTTCTCATTCAAATCTGTTTAGCTGAAGTTGATATTTTGCTGTCACAAATTCTTACTAATGACTGAATTATGCTCATGTTTAGGTACAATGATGACTTTCAAATTCTTTTAAATATTAACCCTGACGATTACCTAGAAGTGTTTACCAGTGAAGTCTGAGTCTTTGTGAATTCCTTTTGAAAAAATCCTGTTTGCAGCTTTTAGACCGGAATTATTTTCAATAAACAGGTCAACTTGGGTTGGGTTTCCTTTCTTAGGTCAGAAAAGCTTCTTTTGTCGCACGACAGTGCGACGAAAGGAGTGCTATGCAAGCTTCGCTCTGTCATGTTTTTTTTTTCGCTCTTCTCATGGCTTTGAGAATCGTTGAGGACCCTCCTTAGCATCAATACAAGCAATACCAAAGTTTGTAAAAAAGGGAGAAGCAGAAGTTTAGACATTTTTACCAATGTACAAGAGATGTTGAATGGCCAGAAAATTGGGAAAAAAATGTGATGTGAATGACCATTTTCCTGCATCATGTAACCTCTCCCATCTCAGCTTACTACTGAACAACAACCAAAACGTTCGAAAGAATGGTGGTTGATTAATCACTCACAGAACTAAGTGCGTTTAAAACTGATGTGGCCCCGCCGTGGTGGTCTAGTGGTTAAGGCTGCTGACCCGCATGTCGCGGAATCGAATTCCGGCTGCAGCAGCGGCATTTTCGATGGAGGTGAAAATGCTGTAGGCCCGTGTGCTCAGATTTGGGTGCACGTTAAAGAACCCCAGATGGTCTGAATTTCCAGAGCCCTCCTCCTCCCCCCCGCCACTACGGCGTCTCTTATATACAAATGGTAGTTTTGGGACGTTAAACCCCATATATCAAGCAATCAATCCAGACTGATGTTATCCACAAGATTTCACTCAGCGACAGCTTAGTATATGTCAGGCAGACTGGACAGTGCAATAATAAGATTCTTCAAGAGCAGAATAACTATTTGAGTTACTACAGTGGGATGCAGTTGCTTAGGCATTGCCAGTCCTGTCAAATTAAAAAAAAAGTGAGAAGGAATGCCACTTTTCAGCCATGGCAAGATTATCGACCGTGTGAAAAGTATGTTAAATGATCTAAGCTTACCACATTATAAGATATGAGCCTGATAAGTTCATTAGGCATTTTTACACCAGTAAAACAATTAACTTGACTTTCGTTGTTGTTGAATAGTTATCTTGGAAATTACGACTATAAATTACTGTTGCACATGCGCTTTGCTCTCGTGAAAAGTTATCACTTCAATAAATCTCTTGTTAGTCTCTGCTCACCTTGTGCATTTTTTTCTACGTCTCGTTATTATTAAGCACGGTTTTATGTTTTTTACCATGCCTTAATCAACTAGGCCCCCATTTTACACTCCTTCAGAACATTATATCCTTTTTCCTTCCAGCATTAAGTATGATATATATTTTCCTAATCCTTAAACGACGCAGTGAGAACACTTTGAGCTAGAAAATCTATATTCTGTAGCTTTTGTACAGCCAGTTTCTCTATGAACTCACGCAACTAAAAATGTTTGGTTTGGCAGTAAAAAGCACCTTTTGGTAAGAGTGCCCAGTATGTTCACGCTCTGTGTAAGCTCATAAACACTATACAAACACTGTTAAGGGTCATTATGCCTGGCATGTCAATTTACCTGAATGTATCCCAATTAGTACGCCTCTTTTAGGTCTAAAAAATAAACTCAAAGTGGCAGCCAAAAGTAAAAGCCGCGAGTCAATAAAGGGCTGGATCCAGAGTATCACCAACTACTTGTATTGGGTAGCTGCAGTTGGCCAGGGCGATGGAGAGCTAACATTGAGCATGTGGAGGAGCCCACTGAATCCCATCCTGAACATCCACCATGGACATGAGGGTCCTTACACAGAATGCCTCCATGGACCACTTGAAGACAGAGACTGGATGTCAAGAGGTCCAAAATATGTGGCATACTATTCGAAAGATCGAATGCAAGCACGGTCAGTTGCAAAAACCACGTAGAATATTGTTTGGGATACACGAGTTTGAAAGTGCAGGGAGATTGTGAAATTCACAAGCACATTTTTAAAGAAATGTCAGCTGCATTTACTCTAAGCATAAGTTGGCAAACTCACTCATGAGTCGAATAACTCAGATTCACTCAGACCCAGATTCAAGTGCGAGTTTGAATGCGGGTGAGTCCAACTGAGTACGGCTCAGTTACACTTCGGTGAGTTCGAGTCTTAGCGAGTACACTCGAGGGAAATTTCGACAAATCCGAGTTTGTGTGGTTCTGGCTTCGTTATACTTAGTTGAGTCTGAGTGAGTGAGTTCATTCGAGGAAAACTTTAGTGGGTCCGAGTCCGAGTGAGTCCCATAGACGAAAATAATTGTGCGTCTGTATCTGACTCCGGCTGAGTTATATTTCCGCAAATGGGAGTTCGAGTGAGTCCGCTTGAGAAAAGTTTTGGTGAGTATTATTCCGTGCCAGTCTGGTTGACCAAACGTGTATGATTCTGAGTCCAAGTGAGTCTGCTTCAGTGAAATGTTGGTCATTCTCGCTGCGAGCGAGTCTTAATGTAAAAACAGTTATTGAGGGAGTATGAGTGGGCTCCAATTATTTTGCCGACCTATGGTAACAAACAATTTATAGTTTTCCACTACCGCATGAATTGTAATCATATTCTCTTTGTCGCACATACGTTTTACTTTTTTATGCCTGTCATTGGTAATTATGTGCCGTGTTAAATTGCATGGAAATCGATGTTTGTTAAGAACACCCATAAGGAATGATTGACACTTCAAAGGCTGTGAAGAGCTAAAAGGGCTGCTATTACATCGTGATTATGCAGAACTTATCAAAATATTGATCTCATAGTAAACCAACCCACCCAAGAGCAGGTAATGAAACTGTTTCTAATATGTTCCCTGCACATCCTACTTTACAAGGACACAACTTGCAGTATTCCATTTTAATGAAAATACATCGAGAGAGCTAGCAAGAACACGAGATAGACAAAAAAGATGGCAGGTTAAAATGTCAAAGGCAAGAAAGGGTCACTTCAGTGCTTTTCCAGTTGAAAAAGCACCCACGTTTGGTACGTGTTGTATAGGTTATCGTCAAATGAATCATGTCATGAAAATGTGTTATTAGTTGGAACACCAAAATGCGGCCCATATTGTTTGCCAAAGACGACACCTACATAATAAGTGTTTTTGACTCTCCCTGTACCCTTTCGCAATCTTTCAAATGCTCTGATAGCATAAACTAAGCGCTAGAAAGCTTAAAAATGGCTCACAAACCGCAGGTAAGTTAATAGTGGTACCTTTTCACCAAAATAGCATTCGAAGCTCAATAAAGGGGGGCACCTGGCATTGCAATGAGAAACCAAAGAGATGAATTTGCCTGCACGACATGTTCCTTCTTTAAGGCATTTTCTCCATAAGTTTAAATTGACTGAATCCACATTGGTGCTAAGTGTAAATTTCTCTTAACATGTACATGCTCTATATAGTGCGTGAAACAAAAGCAATCCTATCGGGTTTTCCAAAATTGACAATGCCCTTTTCTTATTGCAGCCTATGTCCGACTCCTACTCCAGGATGTCACCGAAAGCTGCGATGTTTCAGTGAGAAAAAGTTTGAGCCAACACAGCAGCTCACAAGGCCACCACATGACTGATGCTTATGCTGACAGGCCTTCAAAAGAGGAGCTTCTGATGTCACGACATCGATATAGGACACGACTGTTTTGTTCAAGGTAGTTCTTTGCT